GAGAGAATGCACAGAGGGGCTGGGACGGGCAAGGCAGGCAGGGTGGAGGGTGACGGGGACCATCAGATGACAGGGTGCGCAGGAGAGGACTTACGGGGCAAACCAGCCACATGTGTTAGATACTTTGCTTTTTATGTATTTTATTTTTCCTCTGGTGTGTAAAACAGATTGCCTACTTGTTAATTAATAATGAAGATTGTGCATATCTTGCAAATAAAAATACTCAGGCTTCTTCACCAGCTCCCCCTCTCCCTGAGGGAGCACTTACTCGGGAAGACAAATGACAATTGTGAAGTTGCTTTGAGGATGCAAAGTCAGAGAGAAGGGGTTATCAGCCAGGCCAACGCAGAGACTGACAGTATAATAAATATCCCTTCCTCCCAGCAGGGTTTCTATTCCTGACAAGAGGAATGTTCATATTCACCAGCTGTAGGGGTTAGACCTAGAAATTCCGGCCCTTTGAGTTTGGGGAGGGCTGAGGGACAGAGTGGACACCCCACGCTCTCAGCCTGGGATCTGTTCATATCCACCAGCTGCAGGGGTTAGACCGGGGAGGGCTGAGGGACAGAGTGGACACTCCATGCTCTCAGCCTGGGATCTGTTCATATCCACCAGCTGCAGGGGTTATACTCGGGGGAGCTGCAGGGACAGAGTGGACAGCCCACACTCTCAGCCTGTGATCTTGTTTTCCTTCTGTTATCTTGTAGCTGGCGGTCTCCTTTTTTTTTTTTATTAAAAATTAATATACGGTTCACTAAGAAACGTTACAAAACCTGTGCTTATATATTTTTCACAGGCAAAAAAATGAAAATAAGGAAAAAAAAGAACTGCCTGTGACCAAAGGCTGTAAACACCAGAGCTTTGGTGTTTTTAAGGAATTCCAAGCACGCCTCTTAGCATCACAAAATGAGCTGCTCACATAGAGACTAATCTGGATCACTGTGGCGCTGTCTTTCCAGCCTTAGTGAAGCAGCATTTATAGCTCTTTGGAGGCAAAAGATGTCATGAAAACTTTGCAAGCTCCTAAGAGCTGGGGCAGCCTGAGTGCAGCTCTTTCAGCCCTCCCGTTAGGCTCTCAGGCAAATCACTGGCCTCTTGCAGCCTCAGTGTTCCTGATCAGGTTGTAATAATCACTCCCTCCTCCGTGGGCTTCTGTAACTATTGAAATGGTCAGTGTAAGGTACACTGTTCTGTGCTGGGCACTGCATGCGGGCCCTGAGGAACAGATAGACGCAGTGTAGGCTTGCCTTAGAGAAATTCATAGCGTAGTGAGAGAGGTTAACATTGCCCCCAAATAGCCATTATATCCCACTGTAAGTGTTTATTACGATTCCGCCCAAGAACCTTGGGAATGTAGAGCGGGTGTTACTGAGGAGTTGGCATGTGAGTCGGCTTCGGGGGCTTGAGACTTTCCCAGATGGCAGCTGTAGGAGTGAGGAAGGAAGAGACTGGCTTCTTAGGTGCATTCCTGACAAAAGTCCCATTAAGCCCCAGGAGAGTTGGGCTAAGCCAGGTGCATTCCTGTCAGAAACCCAGTAAGCCCCAGGAGAGTTGGGCTAAGCCAGTTTGTATGTGATCCCAGAATCCCTTGGCTGCACGCTTAATATCAGGTACAGAATTAGTTTGTTATTCCTTGGAATTATTATCCAGCACTGGTGCCTGGATCCCTCATTCAAAAGCTATTTAATGCCTTTTCCCGACAGTCAGAAACAGTGGGGTTCATGGCCACGTGGCAGTTAGCTCTTGGAACGTAGATTATTTTCTGTCCTCTCTGGCTCTGACCATGAACCTGGCACTTACATCACAGCCCCTAGGGAGGGCTCAGAGTGGCAGGCAGAAAGAGAGACTGAGTCTCAAGCTGGTGTGATCTTTGCCACTCTGGCCAGATCACTCTACTCACGCTCTGGTCCTGCCCATATCCTTGGGGACAGTTTATTGAGGAGAAGTTGTTTGGATTTTAGAGCAAGAAGCATTTGCAAGTATTCTCTATAGCGGAACCCTTGCAAACTTCCCTCTACTGTATCCTGGGTTTTGGAAACTTTAATCTACCAATGATTTATTATTAAATCATTTTTCTATAGTTTATAATCATAAAAGCAAACTAGTAAACAGAAAAAGCAATTTCTTACTTTTTGGAAGAAGAAATGATATTTATATTACCCCGTGTGTGTATCTTATGGGCAAACATGTCATCCCCACCATGCATTTGGGTATATTGGGTCCAATGTGGAAGCCGCTCTCAGACTTTCAGAGTGTGTCTTGGTAATTACGTGCCCTGACTTCCTTTCATTCAGACTCACACCCAAGGATTGAGAGACTGAATATGCCAGTGGATGGTGTTCATAGCATGTATACACCTAGAACTCTAACCATGACCTGCAGAACCAGTTCAGGAGCCCAAGATGTTATCAATAGTGACCTGCCCGGAAAGCCGGCCTGATGTACGTCAGACTTCTAGCACTTCCACTCTCTGTCCTAACAATCCAAGAAGCCAAATAGTAATCCCTTAACAATAGACCCCAAACACCACCTGATTTTTCTCTCTGCTTCCAACAGAGCACACCATGGGCACATCTAACTGACCTCACAGGACACCCCACTTCTAGTTAGAGGGTCTGCAGCCTCCTGTGCCAGTGGCTTCAGTCAGGGCACACCTGCGTCTCTGCCCATTTCCCACTAAAGCTTCCCCACTCCCACATCTGCCTTTGAGTTTGCTCCACACAGGGGTGATGGTGGCTGACTCCCTTGTTATAATCAGCTCTGAACAGACAGTCTCTGCTTGTTCTCATTTGGGTGGTCTTCATTTATTTCCAGAAGGTTGTAAAATGAAAATAAAATAATAACATCTATGAACAGGTTGATCATGAAGCCTGGCTGAGGGGCCTTACGGCATTTGTTTAGTACTTTGTTTTGGGGGCACTTTCTGCACACGGTATTACTGATCTTCCATCCACCAGCACCCTGTTCTCAGAAGGATGTAACACTTTCCTCTACCCGCCTCTGTGCTGGTCCCACCCTCCTTACCTCCAGCATCACCAGGCAGAGAAGAGCATTCACATGTGCCGTGAATACAGCAAAGCCAATGGCTTCTGAAAACAGAGAAAGAGTCTCAGCTCTTCCACACCCTGACCACGCTCGAACCTTGCCCCTGCTCCGTTCAGGATAACCCCAAATTTAATTACAAATGAAGAAGCGCCTTTTCTCATTCTCACGGTCTGTCCTTGCTGTGTCTGTTTCAAGGTAATCTGACCTTTTAGTTGTTACTGTCATTTTTTTTAAACTCAAATTCATTACTATCTTCTATGTTGGCATTTTCAGCTTTAGAAATTTCCTCTTCACACACTTTTTAGAGTTCTCATTTGGATCTTCTGTTGTTTTTTTTGTTTGTTTGTTTTTTTCTTCTGAAATTTCAAAGTAAGACATTTTCCCCTTGAGGCTGCAGAGTAAAATTAAATGTGCAATAAATTGCTATAGATGATTGCCTTAGAGAAATTTCTAGTAATCCCTGGAGCACTGGAGCCAGAAAGGACTTCAGAGTTCATCTGGTCCACCCAGAGCCCCAGGTCCCCACAGGTGGCCCTTAGGTTGTCAGTATCTCCTCACCTGTAGATGTCATGCTTTGGGAAAAAGGAAACTACAGCATTCATTTGGGAAATGGTGCTCTTAAGTAAAAGGGTGATTTAGTTTTAACCTTTTTTCTTTTCAATTCTTTGATTTTAGAAAGATGTAATTGCCAGCCAAACTCACCAGTCAGTATTGAGTGAGCAGTGTTTTACGTGGAGTTAATGTAATGGTGTGTAAATGTGGGAAGCTTGATGTTTGGTTAGTGTGACCAGGCTTACAGCTGTTAATGTTGATACACTTTCCTGAGGTTGGAAATACTCTGTACAGCTTGGGAAGCTGACTATCACTTTTGGGGGTCCCTAGACATCCTGGGTTTCAGGTTGGAGGAATCAGTCTAAGTAAAGGCCCCAAGAAGTACCACAACTTGCCCAAATTGTTCAGGACTGTGATTAAACCCACTTCCCTAGATGTTGTTCCTCGGCCCTTCCCGCAGATCTTAAGAGGGCGTCTTGCAGCTTCCAGGGCCAGCATTACAGATGTCCGGGTGATGACCAACAGCAGCTGGGGTTTATCAGGCGCCTCCCCTGTGTCTTCTAAATGCTTTACCTGCCTGGGCATGTTCACTCCTCACAACCGCATACAAGGTGGGCACTGTCACTGTCCCTACCTCACAGAGA